CGAAGATGATGACATCGCTTCTATGTTCGCAATATATATCTTCGATTCGCATTTCTCTATTTATTCATCAGCCAATTCCCCATCGCCACTTTCTTTCTTCCGCGAACAAGAGAAGAACGGTCGTAAAATACCAGAGAAGAACCATATCAGTCCGCGATACATATTTGATCGAACGACCACTACGAGAGGGAGGGAAGGGGACGGGTGGAGTTTTGATGAAGTGCTAGTGGCACCCGGGCCATCCACACGAGGCGCAATACTAGACGTCTCGACGGTGGTGAGCTGATATTTATTGCACTCGCGGGACATCGCTGGTACCCTGATATAACTAAATTCGCGTTTATGACCCCGCAACGACGATAGTTTCTATCTTTCTTAAAGAAGAAACACCTTTAACTGCAAACGCCATTGTGGTGTGGCACCTAAAAGTTTCGCGGCGGAATGAAAGATAGTCGTTCATTCGTGACGCTATCAAATCCTGAATATCGGAAGAAAAATCTACTAATTTATCCCAAAATCGATACTCGTGAAAGAGGTAAATAATGTTACGATTTGATGAGATTGGACTAATGTAGGAATTCTGTGAAGAATTCGGATAATAAAATACTCTAGTAAATAAAGAAAACGTCAACTTTAATTATATTAGATTGAAATATCTTTTGGATTCGTTATGTCTCTTGAAAAAGTTTACACGAATCCGCAGAGTATCTATAAAATTCACAAAAATAAAGGACACGTATACGTTTATGGAACTTGTGATATAATTAGTAAATTAAGCTTTAAGATAGGAATGAAGGGATTTCGAAGGCGAACAAAATTTCAAACTAACCCTTCGGAGGACGTCCTCTTTGTCGTGCATTCGTTACATTTTATAATACTCGCGGGCACAAGGGCAACTTTATGACGAATAAAAGCCTTCACGGGGGAAGATGAAATTGCGATGCGTGGAGTGAAAAGTTACACGATGGCTTTCGCGTGTGCAAAACGCGTGCCGTACAATTTTTGCGCGTGGCGTTTTACACCTGTACACCTCTTACCATAAACGCTTCCGTTCTATTACGCTATTCCATAAGCGATGGTACCGATGAGTACCGCGAAGAGAAAAGCGATAAAACGGCGCGTGTTGAAAATTGCCGATAACCCGACTCGAAAATAAAAACCTAATCTCCGACAATAAATGAGCGTGAAACTTGATACGCACAGAGACATTTATAGACGTACTATTTGCAGTATTCTATCATTCTCGAGATATAAATACCGTTGTATCGATGCAATTGAATCGCGGGGGAGGAATGCATATTTTAATATGGAAAAGACGACGCGTGACTCCACATCGAGATCCGCGATCTGCATTCCTCCCCCGCTGCTCTCGATCGAATCGGAATCGAACGCGGATAACTGAATGCCGAAGTAACGACGCGTGACTGGCACGTAACACTGACCTTGGTCCTGCACGCGTGGAAATCACCGGCGATGTTCCTGAGATTGGCACCCACGCTCGTCCACGACTGCCTCTCGTTGAGGATCAGGCCGAGGTGGCAGCGGCAGGTGGTACCGTTGCAGTTGCTCGCCTCGGTCGGGCCCGTCTCCATGACGGAGCTCTCCGAGGCGAAACGTCTTCGTGGCCGTGGCCTTGGGCTCGGCAACGGTGCACCGTTGCTGTTGACGTTGCACTCGGGGAACTGGAAGGTCGCGTCTCTCATCGGGCTGCTGGGGACAGATACTGTCACGTGGGGCGACGGCGGTGGCAGCTGGTCCACGGCCGATTGCACCAGGTCTGGCAGCGGCAAGCTCGACAAGTCTTCGACGTTGCCGGGCTGCAGCCAGATCACCAGAGGTTGCTGAGATCCAGAACCGGATCGACGCGGCGCCCGATCTATCGAACAAACAAGGGAAAAAGCTCTCTTCAAGTTTCGTTCTTCGAAAAAAAAGACAGATTTTTTTCATATTCTTCGAGTGTCTACGAAGATAACGGATCGCTACGCGGAAACAGATTGCTATATTAACGAGTGGACGGAAGTCGAGAAGAGGCCAGCGATGATTGGATCGACCGGCTCGTACGTCATAATTAAGAGATTCTTTCGTCTCGAATACATTTATCGGACAATGATGCGCACGTGATATACTTGAATTAACGATGGCCGCAATTTCATAGCTACCGTCTGCCACAACGAACGGTAATAACATTTCCCGCTCCGCTATCGCCACGCTTCATAACGACAATTGATTGCACGCAAATTACATTGCACAATGGCAAATCGTGAGTGACCGGAGAGTGTGCTGAGACGGTTACTTCGCATATAAGGTTTAATGCCGCTAAGTACACGCTGCAAGGTAAGACATTGCGGTCCGAATATGGCAAGAACGACATTGTTGGGTAATGATCGTTTAAAAATTTATATCGGGTGATCCAACAGCCTTCTCTCTCTTTATAGTTTCGCACTCTTTATATTTGCGCACATTACGAGAGAGTACCCTTGGGCACGTGCAACTTCTATTT